CTTGTAAAAACGCTTTTTCGGGTTTTGCGAGAATACAAGAGACGTAACGTCTCTCGTCAATGCGATACTTTTTGCACCCGCTGTTTTCTTCCCTATCTCGTTTTATTCATTTATTTATACTTCTTTTTTTACGCGACGACTCTCTCAATCAAATTTATGAGAAATTTCTGGGCTGCCTGCGGATAATTTTAATCCACGCGAAATATGTGTAAAAATATTTGCGAGATATATTAATGCGAATTTTGCTCCACGTGTTATTATTCCGCATCGCAAACCGAATAAACGTCACCGATTTCGAAATCGGATGTTGCGATGCAACGATCGCTTTCAAACGATTTTACGTGCCTATCGATTTCCGAATACAGTTTTGTGCAGCTCCGGCATCTATCTATCTCTCATCAAATTTTGTATTTTTTTTAAATCTTTTTTTCATCGAGCAAAAAACTTAATTCCTAAAAAAAAATTCGTTTCAATCTTCGGCCTCTGGGATACCTTAATTTACCGTTGCCGGGGTCCTGCTAACGTAATGTCGTTACCGTTGTAAACCATTCGCTAGAAAATTCGCCGGATCGACCGGTGGATGTATTTGTTGCAACGGTCGACACAACGGCGCTTTTTATCGGAATGGATCTTCTTCCGTGTCGCACGCACGAAGGAAAAGGGTTACAATTGCAATATAGTCGGGAGCGAGCGAAGGAGAGCGAACGGGTCGTTGCTTGGAAAATCGGTGAAGTATTAGCGTGCCCGTGTCACGCGAAGAGAATGAACGCCAACTATTTGTACGCCATTTAAGAGGCTCCCGGTATTCCGGGAAATGCACGCCGGGAATTACCGAGATCAACTAATCGCGATACTTATAATGGCGCTCGCACATCGATACGTTCCTAATAATGGTATAATATTTTGTCGCACTAATATAATCGTACGTCGTTAAAACTGTAACTTTGACTTTGCACAAATGTTTATATTTAGAGTACAAAGTCTTGAATTTGTACCTATTTATACGACGTCTGGTATCGCTCATTATTTATACGCTATTTCGGAGAACCACCTGTTAAAAGGTTTGGAAGAATTTCCGCAATCTATTTACATTGCCTCTTAAAAAAATCCTTTGAATTTTGCTTCTGATTTTTGTGCAAGGATAATTTGTTTCGATAGAGATTTCATCTAACAATAAGGCGCTTTATCTGTTACGAACGATAATAATTAAAACACGTATGCCCTTGCGTGTAAATGTTACAAGACTTCACGCAGTTGATACACGCAGTATCTAACAACCTATCAGATCTGATAAATAAAATATATCATACATGACCCTCCTTGTGTCGAGAAATTTCGTGTTTCTTATCATCGAGGCACGTGCTGTTTATGATAAAGATAAATCGCGAGCGCTTTACAGTTACTCTCTCAGAGCTTCTCGTGAACAAATGACAGAGGGAGAAGTAATTTTATCGATTGCGAGACATCTCGTAAGGGGTGGCCGGAATGACGTTCGTTAAATCAAAGGAAGGAGAATATCGGAGGAATTTGCGAGACGTAAGGAGATGAAGAATTCACGGGAAAACACGTCGGCCGTGTATGCCGAGGCAAAGGCGCGACGAGAGGCGCGATTTATTGGATGAAATGCAAATTGAATCGTAGTTAGCGAGAGAGAACGCCGAGAAACGACGCGAGTAAATCGTGCCACCTTCCCTCCTCTTCTGCTCTCGATACCTCTCTCTCTCTCTCTCTCTCTCTTTTCCTGCATGTATATATATATATATATACAGGGTGTCCCAGAATTCGTATCACACGTTAATAAAAGATTTCTGAGGCGATTTGGAGACGATTTTTCCTCAACGAAAATGTCCAATAATTTTCGAGTTATAAATGATTGAAAATAAAAGCTATTTTGTAAACTAAGCCTTGTAAAAATAAATTATTAACAAAACTGCATTTTTTAGTTAATTTCAGGTAAAGTTTACTTTAATAGAATTTTAATTTAAGGCTTAGTTACAGAGATACATGATTTCAAAAATTGGGAACATTAAAAAAATGGTGACCTTTCTCGACATTTTCGCTGAGGAAAAATCGTCTCCAAATCGCTTCAAGAATCTCCCATTAACGTGTGATACGGTAATTTTGGGACACCCTGTATATAAATATATATATATATATACTGTTCCTTTTCCCCACGAGGGCTCTTCCATCTCCGCCGCTCTCGATTCCTCCGATAATTCGTACATAAATTCACGACAAATTGAAATAAAAACTGGGTCGATCGAAATGCAATTTACCCGAATGCACACCGCGCGGCTAGAAGGACCCGCCAAGATCGTTTACCACCCCGAGAGCCAATCAGAGCGATTTTCCCTCCCTCGCCGTTAATTGCCTACTTTGCATCTATTTTCTGATGACCGACTTGTTACCACCGAATTGTCGGGGTGGTAACCTATACCTATATACCACCCCGCTTTTCTTTCGCGCAGAGGAGAAATTATTCGTACTTATACCGGTTTCGAGTTTCCGTTATCGACGCGCGTGCGTGATTATTTCCCGAGAATTTGCATACGAAGAAATTTATCGCTCGTTTCGCAGAGGTACGCCGGCTTTTTAAATACCGCGCGTTCAAATGGCGGCTTTTTATGGCTACATCCATTATATAAGAATGCGTATTATAAATAAATGTCAGTGGTTTTTCGTCACGATTTGCATCCCGCGCCAGACAACATATAGCGAGGATTATTTGCAGGAAAACACAATTTTTGTAGAAAAAAAATGGAGATTGTCCTCGTAAAATTTAAAGAAAAAATGTTTATCACTGTGACAAGTACGCTAAGTATCCATTTGTTACCTTTCTTATTCTCTCGTTAAAAACTTTACGCCGTTATTTTGATATGTGTTACTCTACGTTAGATATTTTATTACTGATCTTTATTACTGATCTTTTTACTCGTAAAGTGGAATATTTCAAAATATTATGACTGCATTTATATATGTAAGCTTTGTTATATAATTCAAATGAAAATAAATAACAAAAATAATATTTAACATCCAAATAATTTCTTTTGAAAGTTACTGAAATGTGAATGTATTCTAAAGTTAAATGTAACTCCTTCGTGTGCAAAAACGTGTCAGTTTCAGTATAACCGCCGTTTTACAATTTAATTTACCCAATAATGCGTAAATTTTCGTAAATTAATGTTATGATTATCATAAAAATAAAATACATGATCTTAGAGTAATATGTACAATATAAGATTGCAATAAAGTTAAACAAACACTGACATTTATATGCTAGAAATATACATATATAAATATACATATGTATATATTTTGTCATGCATATCTCGCGTGTAAAATATTGTAAAATCGTGACAGATGATTTTTTTATTTCTATCCATTGTTTATCGAAAAAAATGACATTTATTTTATAAAATCTGCTGGTGAGTTCAAGTGAACGTTTTTGTGAAGTCAATAAATAAATAAAAAAAACGCAACGATTCGATAACAAAATCGCGGTATAGGTCAGACTGAAAATGCGAATTGAATATTGCAACCATCGTTACACACAATGGTTATAATCATTTCGAGTCAATTAAAGTGCACTATGGAAATTGAAAATTTAGCCGCAATATATGCGCGAAAGCTGTGTAACGTTCAGAAATTCATTTTAATCACATCAATCATCAATTATTTTACTTGAAGTTCAATATAAAGCTCATTTTAAACCAATGATATATTCTCACTTCATTAAACGTGAAATTCAAACCACAATCACAATCGTGTAGTTCCATCGATCCGAAGGATAAAAACGACAAAAACTATTTCCTAATGTAATTATTTTATTGAGATGCGTGTGCTAATGATGTACCAATTAAGAAATTCTGTATCTCATATTTGTGAAAATATAATATTCTATTCTGCAATTTATAAGGATTTATAAAAGCGTTTCTTTTTGCAGGAATCTAGGACAAAAGCTTATACAAAAATTGGGAAAAGAACTCACATATAAAAGATACGAGGATTAATTTTTTGTGATCCTTAATTTCATTCTCATTTGAATTGTATATAATTAAATTATAAAAGTCCACTAAAGCTGTGCGACATCTTTATAATGAAAAAAATGCTAAATATCTGCCAAAGCGCTCTTTATTTCGATTAATTAGCGAGAATAATTAGCGCTTTACCAATATCCGTAAAAATTCGTATAGTTACCACATTTCACATTTCGCGAATATCAGTACAATACTTTTGAATATATATAAATACGTAACTTACGTAAGTATATATGTAAAACGTAAGCGTTACCTTTACACAACGTATTAATCCGTAGTAGAGTTGAAATAATAACTCTTTCAACAACAAAAGCATTACGTAATACGCTTTCATTTATCTTATTAAATCTCGTGATAAACTTGCAAATAGGATTATTATGACGCTAGGAAAATATATCTTTGTATGAAGAGTGTTTCTCAATGCTGACAGTGATATATCGAAGTTATGACACTTCAGAGCGGTAAAAGATGAAAAGTATGCACAGTTTAATATTTCATAAGATACGTTAAAGAGCTATCATAAGCACAATGGTCGGTTAATTTCAATCAGTACGAAGCGTGCATTTGCGTGATGCCGCTGGCATCTTCACGCTCCACATGACGAAGGCATGCCGCGAGAATTCGCGGACCAAACGGAAACGCACGGATTCAAGCGTACATTCGGAGATCGATATGTCGCATTCCGTTCTAATAACATCGACGGTGCACCGACAGTCCGTCCGATGCTTATTAAGGACTACTTACTCATTAAAGACCGTTCGCGATAAATTCCGCTAAAATGTTAATTAGTCATCGGCGACATATTCCGCTAAAGTGTTAATTAACATCGATGACTTTTCTTGCGAGAAACAAGATTTTTTATATACGGTAAACAAATATGTTATTCGTAAATAAACGACTAGACGTTAATTGTTAAATTTATGCAAAGCTCTCGCGAATATATCTTCAAGGATTTTCGCTTACCTTATATAATTACGTAGGACGAGCACATTTCAATGAAACATTCACTCCGATCTGTAAGCAAAAAAGACAAAACAGTAAATATTACAGTACTATGAAAAATTATTATAATAATATTTGAAATTATTATAATTAATGTTGTTTTAAGTTTATTTTTTTATTGAAGATTTTGTTTTATTTTACTTTTTTAATTTTCAACTTTTCGTAGCAAGCAAGTTGAAAATAGTACGTGGATTAATATATCTCGCGCACAATGGCGTTAAAATTCATCTATAAAAAATAAGTATAATGGATATGAAAAGAAATACATGATTCATTTAATTATTTTGGAAATATTAATACATTTAATAATACTTTCAATATTTAAATTCTACATAACATTTAAATCAGTTGCAATATCGTTGGACAAATCAAAAGCACAATAAGTGACAATGCCAGATGCTGCAGCATGTAATAAGGAGTGCATCTTTGTTCAAGCGAAAGGAACTAAAGACCTGGAATTCTCGATCTCATTTCACTGGGAAGCAAGCTGCGACATTTCAATTAGCAAATTCTTGCTAACCGATTTGAATTAACAAATTCTTGCGCGATTCTAACATTTAGCCAAATGTCATCCAATACAACTAAGCAACTATAATTTAATATTTTAATTTAATAAATAATTGTATTTTTTCTGGACATATCAAATATTATATATGTATGTATAAATCCACAATATGTATATTTAATTTTGGTTTTCAATTTATAACATAATATTAATATAAATAAATAACTATTACGATAAATCATGTATAAGAATATAAAATGTTCACTAAATTAACATTTTACTATATTTTAAGTAATATATTATATGTATAAAAAATGTTTCTGAAAATTTGGAAATAAACGGTAGAGTATAAACGTTTATATAGTGTATAAATCGTAATAAACTATTCGAGGCTTTTAAATGCAACGGAATATCTGTGACAGCAGTAAATTAATTAATCATGCAAACTTGATATTTCATGAGGTAGATAGTATTGATTACATTCCTATTTGAATATGCTGCTATAATGAATTCGGGATTCTCCGTATGCAAATCGACCAACCAGAAAATGCTTATTAATTAATGATGTGACCACATTAAAATTGTCTTCATTACATTAAATTTGTTTTATATTCACGAACGTACCATCATGTAGGTTATTTCGAGCGTTCCTAATTTTTTTTATGCAAATTAACTCTTGTTCCAAAATCATGTTATATTTTCCAAAAAGCACTGAAACTCTATCCTTTTATCTTGAAAAATCATCTACCTTGATCGCGATTATTTTCGAAAATCACGATGGTTTCGCTAAAATTTCGTGGACACGAGCTCCGGGGTCGAAAAAGAAAACGTGCGCTGTATAAAGTTAAAAGAGTTTCGTATGCATGCCTGATAGCTCGTCGAAATGGAACGTTCGATGTAATACAATCGTCGTGTTTGCGCTTAGAGTTTCCGTGCTTGATTCCCGTATACCCTTCAGTCATCCGTCCATCCATGCTCTCTCTTCACCGTCTTCTCATCTGTACTTCAATATCCACACGACTGCGAAAACGGATCGTGAAATTGGGAGTAAACTTTTTAACTACTTCTAGGATACATTGCGCTTTTTTGATAGGCAATAGAGTGGGAACGAAAACGCAAGGAGAAGAAAGATGAAAAGAAGAAAAAAGAAGATAAAAAAAGAAGAAAAAGTGGAGGCAAGAGAGATTGACCTAGCCTAACCTCATGACCCTCATCCTAGAGCGAAGGGTAATAGCATCTCTTCTGCCAAGATACAAGGATGAGAAACAACACGACGTCAAAAAGGCCTTCTAATCGCATACCGTTCTCTCTTTCTCTCTCTCTCTCTCTCTTTCTCCGTGGGAGCGTCCAATCCCACGACTTGCAAGACCTTAGCATTCTAAAAAAGAATTTAATAGTCATCTGCCTAGGGGCCCAAGAGATTTTGCGAGCGCGAGAGGCAGCGTGGAGGCAAATTCCGTCGATTATTTTCACGATGTCGGAACATGCTCAAATAATATAACAGTAGCTTCGGATCCGGATTTATCTGAATATGTAGTATCGAGATTATTCTCGCATTGTCACAGTCTCCCTTCCGCGACATAAATATTTACAAGCCTGAATATTTTACATTTTATAATCGCGATTTAAAATATTAAATAAAAATAGAAGCACAAAATAGAAGGTAAAAATTACAGTATTATATTATTATCGGAATAAATCTCGTTATACTGATAATATCGGTCCGATGCTATTAATGTGAATATTATATTAATTTCGACACAGACATGTGCGTCATATGTAATATCGATCGTCGGATGTGCATAGAATTGTCAGCGTATTAATAATCAGTGTAGACATATTATCAATGAACTAGTTGGTTACCGTCGTGCGTGCGTATGACAATCCATTTATTTCAATCAATGAGGACAAAGTAACGGGCTGCGCGTTGTGTATACGTACTTGAAATTTTTCTAGGGTCAACTAACGTCAGTTTGTTCGAACAGATGACATCTCCGTTATCGACGCCATTGTAACACGCTTCATTTTCTGAATTTCTCTCTCACTCTCTGTCCCTCTCGAACGATGTACCGCACGCATGCAAGCGGAAGACTGTCAATTCAGTCAATACTGGCTGTGCACAGCAACGATACGCATTACTTAATCTAGCAACATGTCCCCGCGCGTGAGAGTCTCCATTTAGAGCGCGCTTGATGATGCAGCCAAATTTGCATGCGTAATAAATAGCTTTTTTTGTAATATATATCTCAATTATATCAATTATAGAAATGAAACAACTGGAGCATGAAAAAAATTCAAAATATGACTTGTTTAAATTGAAAAATTTGTTTGTATTAAGTATAATAAGTCGAAAAATAAATATTCCTATACTGACGAGGACGAATTGAAATCTATAGCACGACATATCTATAGAGATAATGTATTATACATCTATAAAAGTGATAAATCGTACATTATTTTCTACGGTTTCTCGTCACGTGTCTTTTTTCTTCTTTTTAAATAAAAGAAACCTTTGAACCGGATAATTTGATCTTGTCGGTTAGAAAGTTGAGACTTTACTGTCTCTTGTAAGTGCAGCGCGTGCACCACGAGGTCTCGTAGCGCGTTCGTGAGCACGAAGGGTCAGTAGCCTCGGGCGTGTTTGTAGCGAACGACTCCGTGGCCTCGCAAACTGGTTTAGCAAAAGTCAAGATCTAGATCGCGACCTTCTTACAACCGTTCACGACTTTACGCGAGCGAGCTCGGCATCTTAATACGAGTATGCGCGTAACGAATCGAGTATAATATTATACCAGCAATACAAAAGCGAGTGAGAATGTTCTATTTCCTATGTCAACAAACGTCGTTTAGCACTGAATACATCAAAGTTCGTATAATTTTGTAAACAACGGACTCGTATTTCAATTCGGCATATCATGTATACACATATCGTGAAACTAAATAGATAAATGTGAATAATTAACTACAATAAAAATATACAAACATAGAATTTACTCTAATTAAGTTCTAATTATACAATGGGAAATTCTGATATTATATGATGACGAGATGTTTCAAAAACAGATGTTTTAAACTAATTTATATAATAACCATAAATAATTTACATTCAATTACAGAAGATTAACCCAAAATGCACTAATATAAATTAATGTTATCAAATTAATCTGTCATTCATCCTGCATCGCTGTTAATTTTCAACTATGATATGGCATATTACTTAATATGTTTAAAGGAATTACCGATTAATGATTCAAATCCATTAATCACAATATCGTTGCAAAGATGTTACAAAAACAGCTGATTAATAATATATTTCTGTCTCTCGGCATAATTGTCCCATTTTTAAATAATTAATTTCGTTGAAACATGTTTCAATTTTGTGTTAATGTTCCTGTGAATCAATCAATCAATCAATCAATTATTACAGAACATCACGAACTCTCTCATTCTCTCTCTTTCTCTTCCTCCCTTTCTGTCATCTACTTATTTTGTATGACTATGAATTTTATGAAATGTAAATGACGCAGGCAAAATGAGAAGTCAAATCGTTAAGATGTCTCACAGTGATAAACAAGTTAATAATCAACTGCAAACTGCAACATTAATCAATCAACTGAACTAGGTCCCTGTAAACGATACGATGCATTTTATCACGACAAAACAACTTGTATGTTACTTCGAATAGTAATAGCGCATTATGTCTATTAGTCGTACCGGCGTTAGCGACATTTACGACTTCCGCGCGACACTTCTGTCGTAAAATACGACCGCAAAGTTACACCATGTTCGACAAACCGTTCTAATTACTCTTTAAATTAATAGTAACACGTTAATACCAACGGCTTGACGCACGCGTGACAAACAACGCGTCAAGTCTTTGCAGCAGTTCAATTCACAGTCACGTCCTTCATCATGGCCGCGAAATATTTGCATCATTACGCGCGCGTCTGACACTTTTGACGAACATCTGCCGCGATTAAGCAGTACGACCGTAAACTAGCAATATAAAGCCGCGCTCCACACGCAATTCTTTCGTATCAAACGTGATATTTTTATGACTACATAACGTGATCAACATCCTTTAATAACGCCGGTTTTCCTGCGCGGATAAAATCTCCCCTCTTTAATTCCTCTATATGATCATTAAATAGCAATCGTTTTAAATTTTTATAAAATCGTGCGTGTCTAAAATATATTGTATATACGATTATGAATAACATCGATGTATTTTATCGGCGATAAAAATATAAAAACAAGAATAAAATAAAATTCTACGTATGCGATGCTGAAACAACTCATGTATCCGAGTGCAATTGTGAATTGTGTGTCTCGGTCTGAACAATTCGCTTTCATCCACTCACGACGGAGTCATTCGACGTCTCCATTCGCGAAGCGGACTAATTCTTCTGATCTCTTCGCCAGCGAGATTATAGGACCGACGTGCTTGTCGCATTGTCGTCCGCGCAACAACATCTCGCGCGTCTACCCACACGATCCTTTCATTTCC